CTGGAAACAAGAGAACAAACAGTCGGCATTGTTAAACTTTAAATAAGTATAAAATATTGTTTATATTAGGAATCTAGAGAACAGTAAAATAGGCTCTTTAGGAGAGGCGATTGGAGGTTTTGGTTTAGGTACACTTCTTTACACCTCATTCCTCTTTTTAATATTAGTTAATTCACTCAGAATAGTGAGCTTATTGGGTAGTCATTCATTGTTCTAGTGAACGTACCGCCATAGTAGCATGTACAGCACCTCTAATAAGAACACCCGCTGGTTGAACTCTCAATTGTACCCAGACGCAGCTGAAACTTAACTGTTTGACAAACATTGTCAAAAACCCAGTCTGAAGTTTACGTTATCTTGCGAGTGTAAAGTGAGGGGAAACATTCACGAACACTATCTTTATTAGGCTACCGCAGTCAGCGTGTCCCATATTCATTATCTTAGTCCGGTACTTCCTCCGGTACTTGGCTACCGGAGGAACCTTACCCGCAACCCATTTGGCTACCGGAGGTACCTTATCCGCAACCCATTTGGCTCCCGGAGGAACCTTACCCGCAACCCATTTGGCTACCGGAGGAACCTTACCCGCAACCCATTTGGCTACCAGAGGAACCTTACCCGCAACCCATTTGGCTACCGGAGGAACCTTACCCGCATCCTATACGGCTACTGCAGTCACCTTACCCTCAACCAATTAGACTACCGTAAAAGGAACAAATGAAAACTTGTCTGGTTTTAGGCGGGGGAAAACATAGGAACTCATCTGCTAAGTGGAATGCAGCGAAGGAATTCTGGGAACGCTGGTGCTGTAAATCTTGCTCTTATTAAACTGTCGCCAGGATGTATCACCACCGTTTTGCGCAACTCAGAGACAGGAAACACTGACACAGAGAACGCAGTAGCGGGAAACGCCTTGACACAGGCAACAGTGACAGAAAACCCCTGATGAAGGTAACCCAGTGGCAGGAAACTCCTGACACAGTCAACACAGTGGTAGGAACCTCACCCCCCACTGACACAGGCAACCCAGTGGCAGGAAACACCTTGACACAGGGAACCGAGGCAGGAAACACCATGACGCAGGGAACCCAGGCAGGAACTAATTAATGCAGGCAATCCAGTGGCAGGAACTAATTAACGCAGGCAATCCAGTGGCAGGAAACACCCTGATGCAGGCAACCCAATGGCAGGAAATATGCTGACTCAGGGAATACAGTGTCAAGAACCCTGACACAGGCAATCCAGTGGCAGGAAACCCCTGACGCAACTAATCCAGTGACAGGAAATCTCTTGACGCAACCAATCCAGTGACAGGAAACCTCTGGCACAACAAATCCAGTGGCAGAAACCTCTGACCCAACCAAACCAGTGGCAGGATCCCCCCAACACAGACCGCTCAATATAAACAGTTACCGAAGTACATTTGTCTAGTAGCAGTCCGACAGAGTTTACTTATGTGATGGCTTCTGAAACAAATTAACAATTATATCTGAAATAAACTTTGCAACACGTCTCCTTAAAATACCTGGGAAAAAATGATCGATAGGCGGAGATTTTCAAGTCGTTCAGCATTGACCTGAAGAAGAAAAATTCCAGAATTTTGTTTGGAAAATAAATACAATTATGTGAACCCAACATCAGCCGCCGGAGCGCGTAATCAACGCTAATGAATGCTTGTTTGAAAAACATTGATGCAACCATACCATTAATTTCACAACTGCACAATTTATTTTATTTGTAAGCCGAGTAAAGGACCAGCAATATTAAAGATATGATGATATTAACAAAGATATGAGCATGTAAACGAAGATATCATAATATTAATGAAGATATAATAATATTAATAAAGATGAGAATATTTATGAAAGTATGAGAATATTAACGAAGGAATGAGAATATTAACGAAGGTACGAGAATATTAACGAAGGTACGAGAATATTAACGTAAGTATGATAATATTAATTTAATTAATGAAGGTACGAGAATATTAACGAAAGTATGATAATATTAACGAAGGTATGATAATATTAACGAAGGTACGAGAACATTAGCGAAGGTACGAAAATAGTAACGAAGGCATGAGAATATTAGCAAAGGTATGATAATATTATCGAAGATACGTGTTCACTACCAGCAAGGCTATTTTGCGGGACACGGCGCGCTAGCTCACCTACCCAATTATGTTAGGGATGCAGTCCCTTCTCTTGCTCTGCCATTCCGTAAAATACGTCTCTGTTTTGCCTAATCAGAAACGTACGAATCCTAGCAACCCACCTAACCAATCTAGGTCGATATAGAGAAAACGTCATTGAAATTGAAATTGAAATAAGTTTATTGAGGTAAAATACACACAAAGGGATGAGGTAGCTCAAGCTATTCTCACCCCGTTTAGTACATCGTGTTAATACATACATATAAACACATCACAAACAATAAACATATTACCAAACATTCTGAGAGATAAACATCTACATTTCCTAAGAAAACGTCAATATTACTGTGTTTTAAGCTTTACTAATGCGCTGCATTTTTAACGGATTTACTGATCCTGTAAAATGTATTGAGCATTTTGGTGAGAGGACTGGTTATAAACTCTTCTTTTTATTAATTTAAACTGTAATGGTTCTGAATTTGTATGCGAAGGGGGTAAGAACATACATATCAGTATGCTTTGGAGATGTAAACATTCCTCGACAATGCATGACAGAATGGAAAGGAATTCAATGATAAGTACAATTTAAAGCGCCGAAAAAATGACGTTTTCTATGTATCGGCCTAGACAGGTTAGGTGGATTGCTTATGGGGGGGTTGTACGTTTCTGGTTAGATAAAACAGTTGCATTTTTTGTTCTCAAAGTGACAGACCAAGAGGAACTATCATCCAACTTTGCCCAGGATTCGGATCTAGGTCATCTCGCATCAGCGGTGACTGGTAACTACTGTAACGTAGTGTTGACCAACTGTATTTGGAGCAAAGTGGCAGACTTAAAATCTGTATTACAGTATTTAAGCAGTATCCATTCAGATATGAACAGAATATTTTTCATGAATCATTTAAACTTCGCGCCGTTAGTGTCATTGAACTTAATAAACAAAGGAATGTCGTTTAAGGCAGCGTCTGGGATGCTCCCGGACGTAGGTTCGAATCCTCGTCACGGCCCCTGTGGATTTGTTCAAATGAATGTCAAATTAGCTTAAAGCAAACTTTACCATTCGACCAATTTAACAAAATAATTTTGTCATACGCCAAAATACATGTGTAAAAGTACATATGTTCATTATTCAAAGATAATTTAAGGTCCAGCAAGCCTATGCAGAAAGGTAATCATGCCTTAATGTGAGCATTTATATTATAGAGCTTCCTCTCTGTTGTCCCATCACCGCCACCGGTGGTGGTGGGCCAGCCCACCTGCACCCTCCGCTCACCCAGCCATCAGAGGAGTTTCAAGGCGGTGTTTTATATTCAGCTTCTCGGAACAAGAGTTCCAAGTAGCACGGGGCTATGGCCAGCCCGTAGTGGACTTACCTGGCACAGGAGCTGGGCAGTAACTCAGTCTCAAGGCGCATGTTAGGGTAATACTTGGGTGGCAACAGTGTGTGTGTGTCAGTCTCTAGTCAAGTATAAGACTAAACTGGAAAAGGTTCAAAGGTTTGCCACCAGACTAGTACCCGGGCTGAGAGGTATGAGCTACGAGGAGAGACTACGGGAATTAAACCTCACGTTGCTGGAAAACGTAAGAGTTAGAGGACATGATCACCACATACAAGATTCTCAAAGCAATTGATAGGGTAGATAAGACATGCTCTTTAACAGAAGGGGCATACGTACTAGGGCGAACAAAGGTGGAAATTGAGTGTCCAAATGAGCCACAGAGATATTAGAAAGAACTTTTTTACTGTCAGAGTGGTTGACAAATGGAATGCATTAGGAAGTGATGTGGTGGAGACTGACTCCATACACAGTTTCAAGTGTAGATATGATAGAGCCCAGTAGGCTCAAGAACCTGTACACCAGTTGATTGACAGTTGAGAGGCGTGTGCTCTGGCTCTATGCTCTGGCATAGAGCCAGAGCTCAATCCCCCGCCAGCACAAACAGGTGAGTACAAACTTAACCCAAGCATCTCCCAACACATAAATCTCAACATTTCCATAAAATATCTAGGCGCTCTGCTCCACAGCTCGGCAAACACGAATTTATACGCACCTCATAAAATATTAATATTTAAAGTTTCTTCACAAAATTTTTAAATTATATTGAAAGCACTCGAAGGACTCGTAAAATTGTATGCTTTTAAGCCCTGATAAAGTCGCCACTGACATTCAGTACCTTCCTAAAAATGTGTTAACGATGTCTTCGGAAATCTCCGGGAAACCCGGTGGGTTGGGTGGGAGTAGAGGGCTTACCTCAGAGGGGCTGCTCAGTTCAAGTTCAAGTATGTTTATTGAGACAAGAAAAAAAATACATCACACAGGGATAGAGTAGCTTAGGCTATTTCTACCCCCCCCCCCCCCCCTCTACTTCAAGTCCCTCAAGGGGCGCACAAATTCAGTGAGTACATATACACAAATCACAATACAAGAATCACATTTAACATTGCAGATTAATATAGTAAGCACAGCATATAAGTGTTACACTCTTGGAGCCAAATTATTGTAGCTCCTAAGTATTCTGTCTATCATACCATTATCACACATCCAAACAATTTGATGTGGTACACTACTTATTTCCTTATTTCTATAGTTATCAATAAGTTGACACTATAATACATAATGTTCTAAAGTGTAGGCGTGCGGCATACTACATAATTTACACTCCTTATCTTTTTCACTGACATCAACACCGTATTGCCAGATATATTTGTATCCTAATCTTAATCTCATGTAAATTGAATCCTTCCAAGTAGACTTTCCTCTACCATAGGTGAAGGACGAATGTGTATTTATTATTGAATAATTCTTAAGTGTGTTACTACTGTCCACATTGTTATTCTCTTTACCAT